TGTGCAAATCTAGCTTCTGTATATATCTCCAGTGTTCTTATTTAAGTCATTATGGGTTGGAATATACTAATTTTTCAGTTTAGAATTGAACTCTGATTTAATTGCATAGAAGGGTACTCATCTGATTAGGGACTTACCAAAATTTGAAACCATGTTTTTAAAAGAAACTCTGTAGAGTAGTAACAATATTTATAGTATCACATTTGATTTATTGATAAGAATAAAATTAAGCATGCTCAAGCAGTTATTCATTTCCCTCCAATATGTATATTTTAATCCAATAAGCATGAAAGTTTTTTTCTAATAATGTACCATGCAATATAATTAGTTTTCTTTGCATAGCCAAAATTATCCTAAGATGAGATAGTATTTTTATCAAGCATTTAAGATACATAATTTATCAGTTAGGTATAAGTTTAGGCCCATAAAATTTTATCACAATAATTTCATATTTCATTGAATGTGTTTTGTGCCTGGTTTTTCTTATACTTTATTTTAAAAATTATTTTTCTTAATTTTATCATTAGACTTTAAAAAGTTTCAATGAATATATTTTTTTAATTGTTTGACACAAATAGTATATTGACTATAGAAACAAAGGAGTAAAAAAGTTCTTAGATTGAAATGCTCCATAAGAAATATAATAGGCTTTAGGCTGCCATGGACTTTTAGATTCTCAAATCCGAACGTTGGGATTTTAAAGCCTCCTTGAGTGTTTTCTTGAGTGTTAACTTGAAAATTATAAATTAATTACATAGTGAGTGTGATGTGCACCGTCCAGGGGATGTACACGCTTGGAGCTCTGACTCAAAGGGGGAGGGGAGGCAAGGGCAATGTACGTAACCTTAACATTTGTACCCCCATAATATGCTGAAATAAAAAAAAATCATACTTGTATATTAAGCTAAAATATTTATGCAAGAAACATGAGAATGTGGTTTATGTTTAGTGAAATGAAACCTTAATCTCTAAAGCCAAGTTCTTTATGATTTGAAAAGACTTTTCCTCCATTGCTATATCCGTACAATGGTATTCCAGGTAGGTTCACACAGACATATTCTTCTATAGCTTTAATAAAATTTATTTCCTTTTCAGTTTCCTTATTTATTTGACTTGTGGCCTGAGTCAAACGGTAGATGTTATGGCTTGTTTGAATTTAGTTAATTTTGTTTGGTGTTTAATTTATTTATTTTTAAGTTGCTGTAAAAGTATTTACAGGAGAAAGGAAAATCAGTTTTTGTTCCATAATAATTTTTAGTCATCTGCCACCTGATGGAAACTTGGGGTGAAAAATAATCAATTCATCTTTAAATATTGTCTACTCGCCTAAGAGATTCAGACTTTATTTACGACACGGAGGAACAAATCTTGCTTTCATTCCTGGAATCTGCAGTGTACCTGCAAAGAAAAAGATAATAAAAATCAATTCTGTGAAGTAGAACATACTTTTTTGTATTTACTTTTAACATATGTGAACATGTCTGTACAAGAGTGTGTAAGTCTATACGCTTTAGTATCATCCATCATTTTTAAAGTTATGGCTTGAGAACTTATAATTGTCTAGGAATGTGTTGGCTCATGTTTCTCTGTGATGATTTTTTATGTAGTTTGGTTTCTCTGAAATAAGATGTACCTAAGCCAAAAAAATTATGTACCCTCTCTCCTGAATGAACAAATTCTTGTTTGGCTGCTCTTCTCTTCAATCTGATCTTAGTTTTGTGGATACTTTATCATGGAACCAGGATGACAAAGTTTAGAAAATAAAAATTTATGATTTTTGCTTAGAAAGTGATTAAATAATAATATTCAAAAATATGAAAGTGTTTTTTTTTTTTTACCCTGAGAGATAAAATAGTATGACATAATTTGTAAAACAACAAGAATAATTGGGGCTTGATGAAAGAAAAATGTACCGTAAAGTGTGTTTTTGCACTTTGGGATGTATATGATACTATTAATACCAGGGAGCTTCCAGACAGCGACCAGATAGTGCAGGCAAGTCCCCAAACAGGATCATTTAAAAATCTTTCAGGTCTCCTTTTAAAGGCTCTAGCCCACATTTTATCAATACATTAAAATATACCCATGGTTCTCTATTAAATATAGTTTTCACTGGAAATATTTTGAAACAATTATGATTTTGCTTTTGAAGTTACTTTCTTAAAAGTGATTCATTTCATTTACTATTGTCTAATGTTCAGCCATCAATAAGAAGTCTTGGGAATTCTTTAGAAGGGAGAGAATCTAGCACATATTTCCCCCTAAAATTAATGAAATTCTTGTGACTACTAAATTTAATATAAAAATCAGGTCAGGCATGGAGGCTCATGCCTGTAGTCTCAGCTACCCAGGAGGCTAAGGCAGGACGATCACTTGAGCCCAGAAGTTTGAGGTTGCAGTGAGCTGTGATGATGCCACCACCACACTTCAGCCCGGGTGAAACCTTGTCTTCCCACCCCCCCAAAAAAAAACAATCAAAGTGTGTTTTATTTTCCTACATTTAATTGTACACTTGTTAATTTTGGCCTAATTTTTCAGGTCTAAAATATAATTTAAGTCCCTGAAAATGTGGAGGCCTTTGGCACTGCTAATATCACTCACTGTGTAAAGCTGACTTGTACCCACCCACTCCCACGCTCCGCCCCTGCCCCAACTTTTGTTGTTCTTTCTCTCCTTTGCTATGAGGGGTTTCTCCTCTAGCTCCAACAACGACTGTTGCTGCTTTTCATCCTGGGTTAGTTGGATTAGACATAAAATAATTTTTTCTCTGGATAACTTTTAAAAGAACATAGATTTTGTTTTTTGCAGTGAAGGATGTGTGGCGTGAAGGATTTCCTCTATGTTCCTGGGGTGTAACTGAGTACTCAGACTATGAATTACAAATTGCTGAATTTGACACTAAAACCAACATCGTTCATGGCCTCATGCCTCAGTCATGTTCTCTGGGCTTAGAATTCCAAAATGCAGACTATGGATTCCTCAAGAACACTCTTTCTGGAAATGCTGAATTTGTTGTCTTTTAGGACAGACCAGGTTATTAACATTTTACAGAGACTAGTAAACACAGCAACTTCAGTTCACTGAACATGTGCTATAAGTCAGGCATTATACTACAACTGTTGTTCCTTAACTTTTTTAAACTCAAGCTCCCAAAATACAAATGGAAAAATGTACTTTAATCTCATTTGTAACTTTAAAAGGTATTAAATATTTGTCACTGCAACAAAGTCAACGCAGTGGCAATTTTAGCACATTATTTTTTCAGATTATGTGAATCTCCCTCCTTGTGACTCTCTTCCTTACCACACCATGCCCTTCCCCGTGCCCTGATACAATGATGTGCTCCTTTTATGGAGTGAAAGGCAGAAGGATGCCTGATTTTCTGTTGAGAATCACTATGCTAGGTCTTGCAAATAGATCGTCTCCCTGAATAAGATGAAAACTTAGAAACTAAGAGAAATTAAAGGTTCTACCTCGGTCATACAACTATTTTTTGCGAGAGGGTTTGGACTAGGACTGGGTCTCCTAAAGCTTCATGACCTGGTACCACTGCACCATCAGATTTAATATCTTGGAATATTCAAGGGGAATAATTTGGAGAATCCAAGTAAATTCATTTAATCTGAGACAACCTCAAATATGGTGTTGAGATCACTTTGAATTGTGGAGAAAGCCTGCAAAGAAATACAAAGCAGATTGTTGAAGAACTCCATGGTGGCAGCAGCCCTCTCTATTTCAGAAACAAAAGAATCCTTGATTTTAAATTAGCTACTGCACCCTAGATTCTCTAGCAAGCAGTAGACCTATTGGTGGAAAGTCTCGTGCAAGTTCATGATACATATTATAATAATCTCGTTTTGTAATCCAAAAGAATAAGAATAGACAGAGTCTTTCTTCTTTTTTTTCTTTTCTTTTCTTTTCTTTTCTTTCTCTTTTCTTTCTTTCTTCTTTCTTTCTTTCTTCTCTTTCTTTTTCTTTCTTTCTCTTTCTTCTTTCCTTTTTTTCTTTCTTTCTCTTCTTTCTGAGACAGGGTGTCTCTTTGTTACCTGGGCTAGAGTACAGTGGTGTCATCATAGCTCACTGCAACCTCAAACTCCTGGGCTCTAGTGATCCTCCTGCCTCAGCCTCCTGAATAGCTGGGACTACAAGTGTGCACCAGCACGCTCAGCTAATTTTTTTCTATTTTTTGTAGAGATGGAATCTTACTGTGTTGCTCAGGCTGATCTTGGACTCCTGACCTCAAGTGATTCTCCCACCTCAGACTCCCAAAGTGCTAGGATTACGGGCATGGGCCGCAGTGCCTGGCTTAAAAAAATGGTCTTAAAAGAATAAATACACATATGAGGACCAAAGATGCATAATATTTGAAATTAGGATGATCCTGAAAAAAAATCAGCATGTATGATTGTTCTAAGAATGTATACAGAAGCCATAAAAGAAAGAAAGGTAAAGAAATGACATATTAAGCTTCCAAATTTTAACATTTCATTGAATTACAGATGGTTTAGAAAATAAAGGCTATCATGCCTTGAATAGAATGTCTAATGTTGTAATATTTATTTTAAATAGCACTCTTGGTCTATTTCAGTTAAGAAATCTGGGATGATTTGAGAAATAATAAGCCCCATGAATGTTTCTGCTTGGAAACTGAAAACAAAGGCCATACAGAGGCCTCTGGGGTTAGGAATGCCACGTCAAAAAGAAGTAGGAATATGACTTGGATGTGAATTTGAGAGCATAGGTGGAAATGTTGCACTAAAGAATATCAATATAAGAAAAATGAGTATACCATAATACTTTTATCAGAAGAGACAGTTTTAGAGTGTTAGTAACAAGGATATTGAGCCAAAAGACCTTTTTCCTTTTTGTTCTAAGTTATTTGGTGATTACTTCCAAGGATGAAGAAATGAAGCTTTAAATTAAAGAAAAATGAATATAAAGACCAAAATATTTATAGAAAATGTAATCTGAACCGATGTCATTTCCTCATTGTTCTCTAGGCTGCATCCCATTTCACAATGGCTTCCCTTGCTGCAGCAAATGCAGAATTTTGCTTCAACCTGTTCAGAGAGATGGATAACAATCAAGGCAATGGAAATATGTTCTTTTCCTCTCTGAGCATCTTCACTGCCCTGGCGATGGTTCGTTTGGGTGCTCGAGGTGACTGCGCTAATCAGATTGATAAGGTCAGTCCTGGAGTTCGCAATTAACCACCAGGGTAAATTGTTTTGCCCAAGAGAGTATTTCATGGAGGCATCACGAGGGCACAAGGTGTCACATCTTCCCACACTTCCAAGAGCACCTCTTCAGGTGTGGAGAGAGCACACAGCTTGAGGCACTTGTTTTTGAGCTCGGAGGCAGCAGAAATAATTCAAGAACCACAACTTTCATTCTTTCCTGTAGTACAGTGGTTCTCAAGGTGTGTTTCCCAGACCAGGAACATCACCATCACCTGGAAAACTTGTTAGAAATGCAAATGTTTGGGCCCCACCCCGGACCTACTGAATCAGAAACTATGGGTGTGGGACCCAGCAATCTGGGTTTGGTTTTTTTTTTTTAAAAAGGCCCAAAGTATTTTTATTCAGATACTACCAAAATTCATTATAATTTTAATAAAAGAAAAAATAATAGTCACAGAAAGAAGATCAAAGACATTCAATCAAATTAGCTTTATACTGTAAGAAGCAATAATAGAATTTTGAAGATATCACCTCCAAAATCCTAAATCAATAACTGAAAATAAGAAGGTTATATATTTTTAAAGTACTTAATACTTGAATATATAGGATTCTACTAGGAAAGGAAACATAGTCTCCTTTTCTCAGGCCATAATAAAACTTCTCAGTAAAGAACTAAAAGTTATATAATAAGCAATCTGGGTTTTAACAAGCTCCACAAGTGCACACTGCAGTTTGAGAACCACTGCCTGAGCAGCTACGGGTGAGACAGGAGAGCTAGAAGAAGATTCCAATGATGTCCTAGTTTAAACACTGGTTACCTGGGCACAGATGACTTAATACTACATTCCTGATAATAGCAGCCTACCTGAATGGCTGTCACATTGTCACTATCACCACCTTCACCACCACCTTCAGAAAGTGCATATTAATGTGCCCTTGCACACAGCTCTGAGCCAGGCTGAGGTGGGAAGTGAAATGCTCAAAGGTTCCCTCCCTTCTCTCAGGAAATTGCTATTGAAATTCAGTAGCTCAATAGCAGATGAGAGAAGAGGTCCAGGCTTTACTCAGAGGTCTTGATGTCATTGCTTTCTGTGCCATCCACTCCCCTTTCCTCTGATTATTTGAGTTCAGAAGTATGCACTAGAGAAAGCTAGTCCCCATCCCTGTTGTAACCTGTCACACCTCTGTACTCATTAAAAATTATTAGTATAGATAATTTAAACTAGAATAATTCTTTTCTTTCTCTGGCTAGCTCGGTGGATGTTTGCTGCTTTAGGGAACAATACAAACTCTAAGACTGACATTTTATCAAAAGATACAATTTTTAAACTTTATAATAGAATGCACCTGCAACATGACCTCATAAATATTTTCTCAAGTCTTTCACTCAAATGATGAGCAGCTTCATGGCCCTTCAACTGCATTGAACCTCAAGCATACAGATTCATGACTTCAATGCAGTAAATGAGTCACGGCTTCATAAAGATAGCTGAGTGCCTCTTGGAGCCAAGAAATCAAGACAAACCTAGAACATCTTATCAAAGCAAAAATTTAAGAGTTCTTATGACAGATTATTTAAAAAGGACAGGTTAAGGGATTTCTACTCCACCTGAGACAATTTGAGCATCAAAAAGAAAAAGACCATGGGTCCATGGTAATGCTTAAAAGAGATATGCAGATGGAAGCCATAAATTGGTGGCTTCAGGGAATTCTCAACTGGAGATTGATTTGCAACCCTGGGTTTTCTTTGAAACCTGGAGATGTTTTTGGTTGTATGACTAAGGAGAGTACACAGCTGGTATCTAGTGGGGAGAGGCCAGGATGCTGCTAAACTTCTGAGGATACCAAACAGCCATCACAACAAAGAATTACCCAGCCAAAAGGCAGGAGAACCAAGGTTGAAAACCTCCTTCAAAAAAGATCACCCTGAGTTTGAATAACAGGTCTGCCATCTACCAACACATAGGTATGGCAAACCCTCCATAAAATCAGGATAATGATGCTAGGTGTTGTTGTGAGTGTTAAATAAGATGTTTTTAGGGCTTATCCCAGCACCTGACGTTGACAGAGTCCTCAGCAGTTGGTGGTTACTATCATCTCATTAAAGTGAAATATTCTACATACTGGGTCGTGAACCTCTCTATCTTC